TGAAAGCTTGAGCGCGTGCGAGTCGGATCGCGAGCGAGTCTGATTATGAATGAATCTGCGCGCGATTGATTCTATTCGCATGAATGCGTGCATGGATACGCCCACTGTAAATGTATGTATACGACTGTGAACAGTTTGGGTCTGCGTGACTCTCGGTACTCGTGACTCTGAACGTCGCCTCTGCAGGGGGCTTCCCTGGGAACCCCGACGGCAGCGCCCGCGCGCCGCGACGCCCATGTCGGCACGCCACACACCTGGTGTGCGGGACGCATGCGGACGGCAGCCATGGGGCCTTCGGTGGAGCTCCCTATGGGGCCACGAAACGTGTGAGGGGTGTGCCGAAATGGGTGTGCTGGACGCATGCGGACGGCAACGCTGGGGCCTTCGGTGGAGCTCCCTGTGGGGCCACGAAACGTGTGAGGGGTGTGCCGAAATGGGTGTGCGGGACGCATGCGGACGGCAGCCATGGGGCCTTCGGTGGAGCTCCCTATGGGGCCACGAAACGTGTGAGGGGTGTGCCGAAATGGGTGTGCTGGACGCATGCGGACGGCAACGCTGGGGCCTTCGGTGGAGCTCCCTGTGGGGCCACGAAACGTGTGAGGGGTGTGCCGAAATGGGTGTGCGGGACGCATGCGGACGGCAGCACTGGGGCCTTCGGTGGAGCTCCCTGTGGGGCCACGAAACGTGTGAGGGGTGTGCCGAAATTGGTGTGCGGGACGCATGCTGACGGCAGCCATGGGGCCTTCGGTGGAGCTCCCTGTGGGGCCACGAAACGTGTGAGGGGTGTGCCGAAATGAGTGCGCGGGACGCATGCGGACGGCAGCACTGGGGCCTTCGGTGGAGCTCCCTGTGGGGCCACGAAACGTGTGAGGGGTGTGCCGAAATGGGTGTGCGGGACGCATGCGGACGGCAGCCATGGGGCCTTCGGTGGAGCTCCCTATGGGGCCACGAAACGTGTGAGGGGTGTGCCGAAATGGGTGTGCGGGGCGCATGCGGACGGCAGCACTAGGGCCTTCGGTGGAGCTCCCTGTGGGGCCACGAAACGTGTGAGGGGTGTGCCGAAATGGGCGTGCGGGACGCATGCGGACGGCAGCCATGGGGCCTTCGGTGGAGCTCCCTATGGGGCCACGAAACGTGTGAGGGGTGTGCCGAAATGGGTGTGCGGGACGCATGCGGACGGCAGCCATGGGGCCTTCGGTGGAGCCCCCTATGGGGCCACGAAACGTGTGAGGGGTGTGCCGAAATGGGTGTGCGGGGCGCATGCGGACGGCAGCACTGGGGCCTTCGGTGGAGCTCCCTGTGGGGCCACGAAACGTGTGAGGGGTGTGCCGACATGTGTGTGCGGGACGCATGCGGACGGCAGCCATGGGGCCTTCGGTGGAGCTCCCTATGGGGCCACGAAACGTGTGAGGGGTGTGCCGAAATGGGTGTGCGGGACGCAAGCGGACGGCAGCCATGGGGCCTTCGGTGGAGCTCCCTATGGGGCCACGAAACGTGTGAGGGGTGTGCCGAAATGGGTGTGCGGTACGCATGCGGACGGCAGCACTGGGGCCTTCGGTGGAGCTCCCTGTGGGGCCACGAAACGTGTGAGGGGTGTGCCGAAATGCGTGTGCGGGACGCATGCGGACGGCAGCCATGGGGCCTTCGGTGGAGCTCCCTATGGGGCCACGAAACGTGTGAGGGGTGTGCCGAAATGGGTGTGCGGGACGCATGCGGACGGCAGCACGGGGGCCTTCGGTGGAGCTCCCTGTGGGGCCACGAAACGTGTGAGGGGTGTGCCGAAATGGGTGTGCGGGACGCATGCGGACGGCAGCACTGGGGCCTTCGGTGGAGCTCCCTGTGGGGCCACGAAACGTGTGAGGGGTGTGCCGAAATGGGGTAGATGACGAATGACGATGACGACGATGACAAAGATGATGAAAATGAGAAAGATGAATGGATGCTGATGATGATGATGATGATGATGATGATGATGATGATGATGAGATGACGATGATGATGATGATGATGATGATGATGATGATGATGATGATGATGATGATGATGATGATGATGATGATGATGATGATGATGATGATGCTGACGATGATGGTGATGATGATGATGATGATGATGATGATGCTGATGATGATGATGATGATGATGATGATGCTGCTGGGAGGAGGGAGGAGGGGGAGGAGGAGGAGAGGAGGTGGGACGCGGGGCGCTGTCTCTTCAAAACGAGGACCCAACACAACAGGATGGTTGGGAAAAAATGCCTGGAGGATTGTTTAACGAGCCCCTCCGCAGGATCCCCCTCAAAAAAACATCCAGGAGTGTTTTTTGTTGAATGAACCCCTCCTCCAGGATTCAAGATACCCTTCATGGAAAGGTTTGTTGAACGAGCCCTTCCCCCAGGATCAAAAAGAACCATCCTGGATGAATGTGTTGAGTGAGCCCTTCCTCCAGGATCCAAGCTGAAACCATCCAGGGGGGGTTATTTTGAACGAGCCCCTCCACCACTATCCAAGAACCCATTCCTGGAAGAGGTGTTGTTGAGCGGGCCCCTCCTCCAGGATCCAACAAACTCCTCCTGGAATGGTTTGTTAGAACAAAGCCTTCCTCCAGGATCCCGAAAACCCTTTCTGGAGTGGTTTTTTGAACGAACCCCTCCTCCAGGCTCCAAAACAACATGTCCATAATGGTGTTTTTCGAACGGACCCCTCCTCCAGGATCCCGCCCTACAAAAACACGTCCTGGAAAGGTTGGTTTGAAAGGACCCTGCGTCCAAGACCCCCAAAAAAACATGTGTTTGTAACGGGCCCTCTCTGCAGGATCGGAAAAACTCAAGGAGGGTGCTGTTTGAACGAACACCCCCTCCAGGATTCAAAGTCCTGAAATGGTTGTGTTGAACGAGCCCTCCCTCCAGAATCACAAACAAACCCTCCTGGAGGGCCGTTCAAAAAGAACCCTTTCTCCAGGATCCAACCAACCTCTCCAGGAGGGGTTCTTATGAAAGAACAACTCCCCTAGGATCCAAGACAATCTCCTTGCCTTCCGCCAGGATCCAAAGCACCCGTCCTGGAAGGTTTGTTTGACGAGCCCTTCCTCCAGGATCCAGAAAACCATTACTGAAGTGGTTGTTCGAACGACCCCCTCCTCCAGGATCCCAGTAAAACCCTCCAGAAACATTTTTTTTTGTTGACGAACCATTCCTCCAGAATCCAACAAACCGCTCCAGAAGGACGTTTGGGAAACTGACCCCTCCTCCAAGATCCAAGGCGCCCTTCCTGGATGGGATTTAGTTGAACGAACCCCGCCTCCAGGATTCCGACAAACACATCCTGGCCGTTTTGTTGAACGAACCCTTCCTCCAGGATCAAGCTTGTTGTTTCCACGACGGGTTCGTCGAACTGCCACGCACAGCTGCTACGACTACTACGATTACTACTGTTACTACTACGGCTACCATTACTACTACGACTGCTACCACTACTACCACCACCACCACCACCACCACCACCACCACTACCACTACCACTACCACTACCACTACCACCACCACTACCACTACTACTACTACTACTACTACTACTACTACTACTACTACTACTACTACTACTACTACTACTACTACTACTACGACTACTACGACTGATACTACTACTTATCCTTATTATTCTTCTGCTTCTGCTTCTCATACTACTACACATACTACTACTACTGCGACTACTACAACTACTACTACTACTACTACTACTACAACTACTACTACTACTACTACTAATAATAATACTACTACTACTGCTGCGGAGCGATCGGCCCAATCGCAACCGCTTCGTCAAACTTCCATGGGTAGGCTAATGGCAATCCACTCATTCCAGCCGCTCTCTTGGACAGCTTCTGCTAACAAAAACATAATGTCAGCGACCCCAAAGCATCGCAACCACTTCGGCCCGATCGCAACCGCCTGGGATCCGCCCCAAATGGTTGCGATCGGGTCGAAGTGGTTGCGATCAGCCACAATCGCGCCCCAGAACGGCAGAAGGCCTCCAAGACGGCCCCAAGATGGCCCCAAGAGGCCTCCAAGATGCCCAATCCCAAGACGGCTTCCGACGGCGTCAAGCGGGCCAGGAGCCCACCAAGACGTTCCAAGATGGCTCCAAAATGGCCCAAGACTGCCCAAGGGGCCCCCAAGAGGTCTCCAAGACAGCCCAAGAGGCCTCCAAGAGGGCCTCCAGGAAGGCTCCCAGGAAGGCCGGAAGAGGCCAAATCATATGTTATCTGTAGGTTTTGAAAAGATTTGGGCGCTTGCTTCTTTTCGGCCTTCCGACAACCCGAGACGGCCCAAGAGCTCCCAAATATCACCCCAAGATCGCCCAAGAGGCCTCGAAAATGGCCCCAGAACGGCCGAAGAGGTCCCCAAGACAGCACAAGAGGTCTCTAAGAAACCCAAGATGGCCTCCAAGACGGCCCTAGAGCACCCCAAGAGGGCCCCAAGTCGGCCCAGAGAGGCCCCCAAGACGGCTTCCGACGGCGTCAGATGGGCCAGGAATGCTCCAAGACTGCCAAAGGAAGCCCCCAAAGGCCCCCAAGAGGCCCAAGGAGACCCCCAAGATGCCTCCAAAAGGCTCCCAGGAAGCTCCCAGGAGGCCCTAAGAGTGCCCCCAAGAGGCTCCCAAGATGCTCCCTCCTCCTCCTTTCCTCCTCCTCCTCCTCCTCCTCCTGATCTTCCCCTCCATCCTACTCCAAGTGCTCCCCGAAGGGTTTCCACAACGGCTGGGGGAACACATTGTCCGATAACTTGGCACAGCTCTTGCCATAACGCTCGGCCACAGGAGTGATTCCAAAAGGCAAAAGGGCGGCGGTGATTCGCCCTAGGCGTCTTCGATACCGAAACCGCTACTCCACGTGCCTCTCCAAGGGTGTGCTCTGACCAGGATCTCAGGGAGAATCCAGCCGTGGCGACGAGAACTCTCCAGGACGAGCAGCGGCATCGGCAACCTCTCCCTCCTCGAGGCCTCGACCGCAACGGGGGCGCCGTCGACCCAGCCGAAGGCCTCCGGGCTGCCCGGAGGGGCCGCGGCCGCGGCCAGCGCGAGCAGCAGGGCTCGGGAGGCCCGGCAGGTGCTCGCGGCAAGCACCACGGTGGCGTCGCCGTCGTGCTCCAGAGCCGCCAGCAGCTCCGCCACGTCGGCGGCCTGCGGCAGCTGCTCGGCGGAGGCTGGTGTCGGCAGGGCTTCGGGGTTGCGCACAAGCCGCCCCAGAAGCCCTCGCGTCGTGGAGAAATCAAGACGGGAGGTTGTCGGCTTTGTTGGGCCTCTGGGGAGCCTCGTCGAGCCCTGGGACCGTCCAAACATTACTCAGGATGAAAAACCGGTCCTGGGAAACGGGTCGGAACCTCCGGGTCCGGAAAAAATCACGACGTCGGGCGTCTGGGGGGCCCAGGCTGGCCTCAAAATGACCCCGTGACAATCTGGAACGGTCTGAACACACCAACCCCGGGGTGGCGGGGACGTTCAGACTGCCCCTGACAATCCAGCCCAGGGGCCTGCTGAGGCCAGCGTTGACGAAAATCGAAATACTGCCGAGAGGAATCTCCAGTAGAAAGCGAAGCCCCCTTTTGGCCCTGGCTGCGCCGGAATGCATGGAAACCGTTCAAAAGAACCCCAGCCGAACGAACGACCCCCGCTGCGGACAAGCGACCAGGCCTAGCTCAGACAACGTGGGTGAGGCCCTGGCCTCTGGCTTCTGGACTCTGGCGTGTCTGGAGACACGCACTCCGAGACACGTAAAAAAATTGCCGAACCTCGCAGGCCGCTCCCCGCGAGGCGCGGCCATCCTCGCTACCTCGAGCCGCCCTCTGGAGAAGGCTGCCCCAACGGCCCCGGCCACGACGCGGGGAGCGCTTTAACGGAGTAGATTCGCTTCAGGGATGTAACTTATATGTAGCACCCCGCAGCTGCGGATAAGAGCGAGGGGGCGGGCGCGGGGTGGGTCGCGGTTGGGTCGCGGGCGAGAAAGGAACGCTGTGGGGCCCTCCTTTCTCGCAAACAACGAGCATATCATCTGGATCAGGGATCCACTCCTTGTCAGATGATTCGGCAAGAAATCGAATCGCAATCGACTGGTAATCACCAGAGCATGGGAATTGCCTTATTTCAATGGACGCCTAAATTCTGGGCCCTCCTCTCTCGCAAACAACGAGCATATCATCTGGATCTGGGATCCACTCCTTGTCAGCTGACTCGGCAAGGAATCGAATCGCAATCGACCGGTAATCACCAGGGAATGGGAACTGCCTGAACTTCAACAGACGCCTAAATTCTGGGCGGAGGTGCCTGGGCCGCTCGGAGGGCCCAGGGCGCTCGAAGGAAGGAGGGGGATAACACGAAAAACAGGAGCAGCATGAAAAAACCTTTGTTTTCACAAGGAACAACAAGGAACAATACAGGACAAAAATAGGAAGACCTATGACTGTCCGTGCTTATTCGGCGCAGACGTTCCAAAGTTAAGATCCTTGTGCAGCAGCCTTTACAAAAGGATTCCTTGTGTGGCGAACTTACACAAGGATTTCAAGTGAGGGGGATCTGCAGTGGCCTCCACACTTAGAACCCTGTTGCAACAGCCTTTACAAAGGGAAGCCTTGTGTGGCGGCCTACCAAAAGGTTTTTCCTTGTGGGGGGATCCGCAGAGGCGGCACCTTGAGCCCAGGAAAACTGAAGAGGAAAACAACTTTTGTTTTCACATGGGAGAATAACAAAAAGCTAAGAGGATCTGTGACTGTCAGTACTTTTATGGTGCAGACGTTCCTCACTTAAGATCCTTGTGTAGCAGCCTTCACACAAGGATTCCCTTGTTGTCGCGACCTTACACAAGGACTTTAAGCGCGGGGGACCTGCAGTGGCCTCCACACTTAGAACCCTTCTGCAACAACCTTTATAATGTAATCCCACCAGCCCTGTGGGCGTCGGTGGTTTAGGGATTTTCCTCTTCCACTCCTCCGTCTTCCCCTTCGGGGAGGGGTTTACCCCTACCCCTCCCCCTACCCCCTCCCCATGGACCTGAACAAGAGGGGTTCGCGAGTCGTCGGAGCGTCCAAAACGGCCTCGGCGAGGCAGACAAAATCATTAATTTTACTAGGGAATGTTGGCTCCTTTTTGGCCTCCTGGGGGGGCGACGCTAATTATTGCTCCCCTCTTGTTTGATCAATCTCCTCCAAGATGGCCCCAAGAAGCGCCCAGGAGGCCCCAAGAGGTCCCAAGATGGCCCCACGATGGCCCCAAGAGGCCCCCAAGAGGCCCGCAGGAGGCCCCCAAGAGACCCCCAAGAGGCCCCAAAAGACCCCCCAGAGGCACCCAAGATGTTCCAAGAGGCCCCAGCGAGAATGCCAAATCATTGGCTACACGAAGGTTTTAGCCACATGTTGGCCTCTTGGGGGGGGGCACTGAAAAAGATGACTCCAAGAGCGCCTGGGAGAACCCAAAATTACCTCCAAGACGGCTCAAGATACCCCAAGATGTCTCATAATGGCTTCCTCTGTGTGCTGCCCACTTCCCTGATCGAGGCAATTCCTCTGGGCATCGTTTCTGGATGGGCTGGTGGGGATTCGCGAGCGTCAACAATTCCGTTCGTGGTGGCCTTGCAAAATGGTTGTAATGTTGGGGGGATATGCACAAAGGGGCCTTTGCAAAAGGATCCCTTTTCGTGGCGACCTTGCACAAGGATTTCAGGTCCAGACTTAGAACACGTTGTAACAGCCTTTACACAGGTAAGCCTTATTGTGGCGGCCATACCAAACAAGTTTTCATTGTGGGGGATCTGAAGTGACGGCGCCGTGAGCCCAGGAACCTAAAGAGGAAATCAACATAAACAAAAAAAAACTACAAACAACAAAACAAACAACTGATGCGTTTTCACGCTGATTCATTTATAACAAAAACTGAATACCTGTGGTTGTCGGTACTTCTATAACGCAGACGTTCCACAATTAAAACTATTGTGTAGCAGCATGTACAACAGGATTCCTTGTGAGGTGACCTGACACAAGGATTTCAAGTGACAGGGGATCTGCAGTGGCCTCCACAAGTAGAACCCTTGTGCAACCGTTTTTTACAACGGGAAACCTAGTGTGGCGGCCTTACAACCAGGTTTTCATTGCGGGGGGATCAACAGCGGCGGCACCTTGCTTGAACCCAGAAAAATCAAAAAGGAAAGCGTGACAAGCACGGAAAACATAAAAAAAACATGTGTTGTCACATGGAAAATAAGAAATCAGAAAACCTCCATTTAAAACCCTTATGTTGCAACCTTTAGAACAGGATTCCTTGCGCGGCGACCTTGCACCAGGACTTTAAGCGCGGGAAACCGGCAGCGGCCCCCACGCTTAGAACCCTTGCGTAACAGCCTTTTACCATAGAAAATAATTGCGCTGCTGCTTTACAAAATGGCACCGCCCCCCACCCCGCGCACCCCCTCCGCGCCCCCCCCGCCCGCACCCCCCCCCCGCCCACCAGCCCGCGCGCTCCCCCCCCGCCCCAACCTTTTTACTTCGGCGCGGCACCCCCCCCGATCCCGCGCGCCCTCCCCGCGCCCCCACACCCTCCGCGCCCCCCCCCTGCCCGCCCGCCGGCGCCCCCCCTCCACCCCGACTTGTTTTTGTTTCGGCGCGGCGCCGCCCCCAGCCCCCCCCCCGCGCCCCCCCGCCCACCAGCCGCCGCCCCGACCCCTCTAGTTCGGCACGGCATCGCCGCCCGCGCAGCCAGCGCGCCCTGCGACGGCCCCGCCCGCCAGCCAGCGCGCCCCCTCCGCCCCGACCTCTCTTTAGAAGGCCCCCACATTTCCCCGCCCGCCCAATCGGCGCGACCTCTCCGCCCCGACCCCTTCATTCCCTTGCACGAGGCACCTAAAGCTCCGACCACTACTTTATATTTCGGCACGGCGCCGCCCCCCCACCCCGCCCCCCACCTCCGCGCCACTCCGACCGTCAGCCGGCGCGCCCCCGTCCGCCCCGACATTTTGCATCTCGGCACGGCACCGCCCCCGCCCCACCCCGCGCGCCCCCTCCGCCTCGCCCCACTCGCCGGCCACCGCGCCCCCTCCGCCCCGACCCTTCGGCACGGCGCCGCCCCCCACCCCGGGCGCCCCCTCTACATCGCCCCGCCCCCAGCCAGCGCGCCCCCCCTGCCCCGACACCTGCATTTCGGCACGGCGCCGCCCCCCCGCCCGAGCGCCGCCCCCGTCGCCCCGCCCGCCAGCCAGCGCGCCCCCTCTGCCCCGACTTCTTCACTCCGGCACGGCGCCGCCCCCCCCATCCCGCGCGCCCCCGCCGCGCCCCCCCACCCGCCAGCCAGCGCGCCCCCTCCGCCCCGACCCTTGCGCGCCGGCACGGCAGCGCGCCCCCGCCGCGCCCCCTCCGCGCACCAACCGGCGCGCGCCCCCCTGCAAAAGACCCTCCGCGCCCCCCCACCCGCCAGCCAACGCGCCCCCTCCAGCCCGCCCCCCCCCCGGCCCGCGCCCCCCCATCTGCTAGCGGCGCGCGCCCCCCTCCGCACCCCCCACCAACCAGCCAACGCGCCCCCTCCGCCCGCGCCCCCTCCGCGCCCCCCCACCCACCAGCCAGCGCGCCCCTTCCGCCCCGACCCCTCGTTTCGGCGCGGCACCGCCCCCTCCGCCCTGACCCCTTCCATTGCGACATGGATCGGCGCGCAGCGCCGAGGGCAGTTTTGCTGCGAGCGCGGCTCGAAAAACTGGCGCAGCTCCAAGGCCAAGTGCCTTCAATTTTTGCGCGACCGATACAGCAGCGGGGCGTGAGATGGTAGCAGGCAACGGGCGAGCGGCGGAAGCGAGGCGGAAGCAGGGACTAGGAGCGAGGGAAGTGCTACTTATCACACTCTTCCAGCACGGCCCTCGATGGGTGGCGCGAGCTACGCCCTGAGAGAGACGGGCATGTCTTCTCTCGCTGCATAACGGGGCGAATTATCGAGGTAATTATGAAACAGCGGCGGCGGCAAAGGCAGGCAAACGGCCTGACACGGCCTGCAGCAGGGGCCCCTGGGGCATCACAGGACGCGCCACACAAACCTGCGAACCAAATTCCCTCCCCAACGGCGGCGGCGAAACGCGGCAGGCACTTGGCAGGCGAGTCCGATCGCGAAGCGACAAGACTCAAAAACATCATTACCTTACATGATAGTAAGATCTGAACTGAGTGTGGCCGTCACC